AATATTCCCCAAAGAACCAGCTGCAATCATGTTAGGATGGAACACCTTGTACTCCTTCTCAAATCCCTGTTTTGTTGCCTGCATGTCTCTGATCTTGTCCCCCAGCTTGTTCACCTCGACCTCCAGTCATCATGGCTGGTCAATGTTGTAGTAATGTACCAGCTGTGTTCTTCCCAGATCCATCAGCATCACGCACCGCCTCCTCCTCATAACCAGCATTCACGCTGGGTGCTGCTTCTGCAGAAACACATCATATAGAACTGGGAGCTCAATGAAAACAGCCGCTTGTCACTTGGTGCCTGTAAAACAGTTTCACACAAATATAATATATATAATACTGTGAGAAACCTCATTGGTATATGCATTCTCTCAAGAATAAAACCAGGCTTCACTTCCAGAATGATGTCCTTTGATGACGTCTGTCTCTGGAAGATCTACAGCAGTGCAGCAGGATGCCTAAAGCTCATGTTCACCATCTAAACGCTGAGGCCTAAATCTGGAATGTTGGTTGAACGTTACCTTGCAGCTCTTGTTCTTGTGTGGGTTCAAAGGCAGACACGTCCTCATACACAGAAGTATCACTTCTCTTCTTGTTGGAATTTCTTTTCCTCCTTGAACAATACAGGAACATTTTCATGTCCGATATTTAGACAATGCTTGGTCAATGAAGAAGACGCCATGCTGATGAAAGTCGTATGTTTAATTTATGGCAAGTTGTTTAGCCCTAATTGTTCCACTTAAATTGAAAATAAGAACAAACAAATCATTTTTACAATTTGTCTATTTTGATATTGTGTAAGCGCTCTCGCAGGTTAATGGTTTTATATATATAGCAATGGAAGTGTTCGATATTTTTACACTGAACCAAGCAATATCCCAGACGGTCAAGTTGTTAACATCGCGACCACGGGTATGCGCAGTTGGGATACGGTGCCATCAAGCATGTCAGCGAGGCAGACGATCCCGTTGCCCGACTCTTACGATTAAATATGGGTTCCAGAATACCAACCTGTTACGATGCTGTTATTATTTTTTATAACACTTCTTCGAAAAGTAGAAGTACGCTCATTTTCAAAAACAGACAAGGAGAAATATGCATGATACCTGTAAAGAAAACTGCTACAATACTGACAACAATCACAGCTACAGCAACAACTCCACCAACCGCGCCACCAACGACCGCACCATTTCCGGAGGGATAGCGATGGAGATTGTCTATTGGCTGAAAATATGCAAAAACAGTGTACATCGATGTCTGAGTAAATGAGTTGGGTTGAACACTCTGTGATATTTCACCCCGAGTCAGACTCATGTAGGAAGAAGGCTTAGGGGAAGCGAGCAATAAAATGCAAATTGACTTCATGTAAGCAACGGCTACATTGTTTGATTTTAACTGAATACTAAACCGAATAATGTGCAGGAATCCATGTTGCTGGGAGACCACTGCTTAAACTTACCTTGTTGACAGGTGTCGCTGACCCAGCCTGGACTGCAGCCCTTGAGACAGGTTCCAGTGGACATGGTGACAAAGGTTCATCGTCCACACAATGTCCACACGTGGAGGAACAGTTAACACTTCAAACGTCCTTGACGGACATTCTTCAAGAAAATGTATATTGATAGGATGCACTTCAAGACATGCTTCAGAATGTTTTATAGCATTTGGTGAAAACCTGTCAGTTCATTTCCTGGGATACATTGAAAATGTAATGCCTTTTGGCATTTCCGTTTAGAATCCACTAATTCGGGCTCACATCATACATCCAGGGTAGAGGCGGTTTCATATTGCAGTATGATATACGTTTCTTGCCACTCTACTTTGTCTGCAGTCTTCTCCCATCCACCCTGACTGACACCCGTTCTCACAGCGGCCTGAATCCAGGAGACAGATGTCATTCCCTCCTCACACATCCGGCACTGCAGTTACCCGTACAGTTGGCTCCATATTCCACCCCTTGTATACATGCTGTCATTGAAAGAAATACAAGTTGTAAATAAAAGTGAAACCAAACCAATCGCAGACAAGGTATAACTTCAATTCAGCTCCTATTGCACAAAACATGGTTCTATGAAAGCAACATCTAAATGCAGAGTAGGAAACATGCACCTGCAGTTCTAGTTATAGTTTATTCCCATTTTTGAAAGAATGGTACACACAAAGTAACCATTCTAAACACTTGTGATTGGCCTTACCAGTAGTGCAGTCTTCTCCCTTAAACCCTGACTGGCATCCGTTCTCACAGCAGCCTGAATCCTGAGGACAGGTGGCATTCCCTCCCTCACACATACGGGCACTGCAGTTACCCGAACAGTTAGCTCCATATTCCACCCCTTGTATGCATGCTGTCAATGAATAAAGTACATGCTGTATACCGAATGTGAAAAGAAAACCAAACCAGCCTACTTCCTTTTAAGACTCATTTCATACTTTATTAGCAATGGTTCATCCAAATAGAAGCATGTCAATTTGGGGATTGTGAAATTGTACCATTTTGTTTATTCGACCTTTCATTTACATTCCTTGAATAATGTTAAGCCAAATTAAAGACAATAAAGACTTGTGAATGTCGCTTACCAATAGTGCAGTCTTCCCCCATATATCCTGGCTGACATCCGTTCTCACAGCGGCCTGAATCCTGAGGACAGGTGGCATTCCCTCCCTCACACATCCGGGCACTGCAGTTACCCGTACAGTTGGCTCCATATTCCACCCCTTGTATACATGCTGTCATTGAAAGAAATACAAGTTGTAAATAAAAAGTGAAACCAAACCAATCGCAGACAAGGTATAACTTCAATTCAGCTCCTATTGCACAAACATGGTTCTATGAAAAGCAACATCTAAATGCAGAGTAGGGAAACATGCACCTGCAGTTTTAGGTATAGTTTATTCCCATTTCTGAAAAGAATGGTACACACAAAGTAACCATTCTTAACACTTGTGATTTGGCCTTACCAGTAGTGCAGTCTTCTCCCTTAAACCCTGACTGGCATCCGTTCTCACAGCGGCCTGAATCCTGGGGACAGGTGGCATTCCCTCCTCACACATACGGGCACTGCAGGTACCCGAACAGTTAGCTCCATATTCCACCCCTTGTATGCATGCTGTCAATGAATAAAGTACATGCTGTATACCGAATGTGAAAGAAAACCAAACCCAGTCTACTTCCTTTTTTAAGACTCATTTCATACTTTATTAGCAATGGTTCATCCAAATAGAAGCATGTCAATTTGGGGATTGTGAAATTGTACCAGTTTGTTTATTCGACCTTTCATTACATTCCTTGAATAATGTTAAGCCAAATTAAAGACAATAAAGACTTGTGAATGTCGCTTACCAATAGTGCAGTCTTCCCCATATATCCTGGCTGACATCCGTTCTCACAGCGGCCTGAATCCTGAGGACAGGTGTCATTCCATCCTCACACATATCGGGCACTGCAGTTACCCGTACAGTTGGTCTCCATATTCCACCCTTTGTATACATGCTGTCATTGAAAGAAATACAAGTTGTAAATAAAAGTGAAACCAAACCAATCGCAGACAAGGTATAACTTCAATTCAGCTCCTATTGCACAAACATGGTTCTATGAAAAGCAACATCTAAATGCAGAGTAGGCAACATGCATCTACAGGTTTAGATATAGTTTATTCCCATTTCTGAAAGAATGGTACACACAAAGTAACCATTCTAAACACTTGTGGATTTGCCTTACCAGTAGTGCAGTCTTCTCCCTGAAACCCTGATTGGCATCCCGTTCTCACAGCGGCCTGAATCCTGGGGACAGGTGGCATTCCCTCCCTCACACATCCGGGCACTGCAGGTACCCGTACAGTTGGCTCCATATTCCACCCCTTGTATACATGCTGTCATTGAAAGAAATACAAGTTGTAAATAAAAAAGCGAAACCAAACCAATGCAGCTCCTATTGCACAAAGACTGGTTCTATGAAATCAGCCTCAAATTGCACAGATGGGTGTTCAAACTTATTCCATAATGTTTCTACCACCGCTAGACGTCGATATGTAAATAATCCTGTCAATATCGTGGGCAATGATGCAGGTCGAGGATGTATGACACAACGCCGTCACTCATGTCTTCAGCACGCGTGGTTTCATCAATTTCAGCATTTTCATGCAAATACCAAGAATAGGATTAAGATGGTGAATTTCGAAGTTGACGTTTGGGGACAGGTATGATGTGTAACACCGCCACGATATATCAAACATTCGTTAACCCAACGATGCGTACTACATATGAATCATACTCCTCCTGCATATACGGCGGCGACACTTGAGGCTGGCACATAACGCTGACCAAAAAATCTCCCTGATATACACCTGTGTTCAGTGAGGGAATGGTGTGGGCTTGCTGCTGTCCATGTTATTGTATGGATGTTGTGCTGCTGGAGGTGAGCAGGGATGATTTGTGCACGGTTAACAAATGTGCACGGGCGTCGTCGTCCTAAAAGGTTACATCCCATTCTGCCTACAATCCCAATTTGCCTGCAAACATTACTGTAAGCAGAATGGGGAAATGATTGACCAGTCACTGAAGGGTATGATGTTGGGTTTGGAGAAACGGTAATTAATGCAGTTTCACTTAAATTAAACGACATGATGATATTAGTGATACTGAATCGCAAGTTAAAGTTTCAAAGCGGTGGTTGGTCTGTGTATCTCTATGTACATGTTTAGCATAGTTTTTTACATTATAATCCAATAAAGATATATAAAAACATGTACAATGATATTGTTTGGAGTGGGTTGTTTTCAGAAACAGCTAATATATTTATTTAGTCGTGCAGATCATCATCTCAAAGTTAGGGATAAACTTAATCACTACATCTTCTCCAATGTCAAATTATATAGCAATGTTTATTTCTCCCAAACCACCACGGTGGTACAAGAAGAATACAAATATACATATAACAGACAAAATTTGGTGATATCAGTAACATAGGCCATTTTAACTTTTAACATTAGGGGGATTGTCAGCTCTGTTATTACAACCTTGTGCTATCATTGTTTCCCTTCCACGATACATGGTACATGACACTTGGATCACTTTGAACTAGATGACAGACTTCTCAGACTGAAAGAGCACATCAGACTGGCAGGGAAAACACCACTCGCTGCTTAACATTTGATTAAATTTGCAAAATAATTGTTATTTGTGTGACCCCTTGATAAGCTGATGAAATAAGATATCTGTAAGATGACTGACCTAGAGATATGCACTGTGACGGACTATATTTTATACAAAAGAATATTACAGTACATTCAGTTCTCACCTGTTGTACAGTCGACACCCTTCCATCCGGGCCTGCAGCCCCCATCACACAACCCAGTCACGTGATCACATCTTGACGAGGTGGTGTCACTACAGTGTCTGTCAGACAGTTTCTGCCACAATCCTCTCCATACGTGTCTATGCATTCTTTAAAAACATACTTAGTCAGATGTTTGGGATAAAATGTCAAGATAGTCAGAACTAATTTCAAGACATCAGTTGTTCGGAATGTTGGTTTAGGGCAGAGGTCTCTGCTTACTCTCTGCACATTTGTGTGTTAATTCCTTTTGTGCCACCCAGTCTCATTCGATGTGCTTCTATCCCATTCCGCCTTCATCAACCAGATCACTATTCAAATAGACGTGAACTTAAGCGTCTTTACCCTGTGTACTCAACAAATTTTCAACAGTCTTTAGCCTGTGTGCTCAACAAATGTTAAAAGAATCTTTACCCTGTGTGCTCAACAAATGAGTAAAGAGTCGTTACCCTGTGTACTCAACAACTGTTTTAAGATTCTTTACCCTGTGTACTCAACAAATAGTAAAGAATCTTTACCCTGTGTACTCAACAAATGTTAAAGAGTCTTTACCCTGTGTACTCAACAAATGTTAAAGACTCTTTACCCTGTGTACTCAACAAATAGTAAGGACTCTTTACCCTGTGTACAGTCCGGTGTTCTGTAGCCTGCCAGACATCCACCTGAACATTCCCCGGTGTCATGGCTACAGCTGGAGGTGTTGTCCTTACACTGTCTGTCTGTGCATGACTTGGAGCAGCCTCGTCCATAGTGTCCCGTCGGACAGGCTGAAATGGGAGATACAGAGATTGTGATTATTTCTCTGAAATACATTACGTTTACAGTAAGTACATTTAAATAGATATAGAGTTTATGTTTTATATCTTTTAAATTAACAGTACAATTGTTGTTACAGATAAGTCATAAGTCATGACAATTAATTTATAGAATGGATGGAATGGTTGGTCAACAACAAACTTCTTTTGTACGGTTGTATGGTTTTCATTTCATCCTTTTTCTGACCTCCAATTTGTCGATCTTACTCACTCATATTGCAACTGCTGCCGACCCAACCCTGACATACACGTGTCACTAGGACAGACACCGCTGACGTAGTTGCACGTATCGCCGTCACAGTGGCAGTAGTTGACACAGTCAGCGCCGAAAGTACGAAGACCACACACTGTAATGAAGATGTTTTACAGACACGATCCCCACAAAGGTTTACATGTATTTATCTATATGCATTTGTAAGCACAATTCTGTTGTAAATGTTCATGTACTATGTATGTATGTATGTGTATAAGTGAACCTATATGTTTATCAAGCGTAGTGAATTATAAATCTTAGTGATTAGATCCTTTTTTCGAAAAAATTGTACAGCAATGGTGAAGTTTGCTTGCTTGGAGTGACTGTTGTTTATTAGTGTAAAACCTTTTCCATATTATAGGAAATCTCTGCCAAAGCAGAGTCAATGATATACGATTCGAACTGTAAGCATAAATATCAAATAGCACTTCATTTCGTCATAATTTCGCTGCATCCGGCATTAGAGCACTTATAGTATAACGACAATACAGACACAGTAGTGTTTGCCTACCGTCTACTTCCACCTCACAAAAGTCAAGCAAAGGCAGTGTGTCGCCATCATTGTTCACTGTTGTGTAAAGTAAAATGTAGCGCCCTCTGCCCGAGCAAGGTGCCCGTGTGACGTCAGCAATGTCGCTTCCATCACTTCTTCCTGTCACGGTATAGCAGTTGTCACCACTGGGTGCATCCGTGGAGTTGGTCACGTACACATGGATACCATTTCTCCTTGGTGTATCTGGAATATTTACTTCAGTACATTCTCAGGAACGAAATCACATACATCTGAGGATGTTAACACGTTTTCACATTGTACCAAAAGAATGGTTGAGTCAGACTGTCGCATGTGATGTAGTATCACACATGCAACAGACCCACAAAAACGAACAATAAACATACACAAAGCAATTGTTACCGAATATTATCGTTGTAGTTGGTTGACAATAAATAACGATACTATACTTACGGTCAGTTCTGAAGTAGATGGTGACGTCACGTATCAACATTGTGTCATTGAGATCCACTCGCCACCAGTTGGGACTCCTGGGCTCTGTCTCTATACAGACAGTGTAACTGTTTGCAGCAGTGTTTTCCCGTCTGTAGCTTGGGATGACGAGAAAGGACCATCTCCACTGGATGATGTAGGTTTCCCCTCGCAACGTTATCTGCATCAACGACAAACGTCTTCCAAAATGGTTCAACTTGTTTGCATTCAGTGTTTTCAGCACAACATTTAGACACTACGTGTAAGATGCTAATAGAGAAATTACATACATGTTACTGTCAAAAAATGAACTGATGCAATAAAGATGTTACATATGTTTTAACATTTTAACATTTAATGGTGAGTATTGCAGTGAGGAAACTGGTATCACTGTACAGTGATTCGCGATAAATGTACGCAAATGGCATTGGTGAATGAAGGAATGGCCAGTTAGCTATCTTTCCATGTTATCAATGTTTAACAATGATAAACAATTACGAAATGAAAAGAACAAATGTTTATTAGGCTTAATTCAGAAATATCATTTTGAAATCTTCCCGATGTATTTCAATATGTATTAGTGCACTGAAACGATAATGTATTTACGCCTAACGCTGTTGTTTCTGGACCTGAATGAATCACGTACATATGCGTACACAGCACATCGTACTACCATAGTACAGAATCACCAAACATGAAATATAATCCAGGCATGTTAAGTTAATCTTACAGTATATATTTCATTGCATTTCTATTTTCCTGATAATATTTATTAAAAGATATTGTAACAAATCAATTTCATTTTCTGTGACAACGTTTCACATCATCGTGTCCAACGATGACTCAAAGCCTGAATACAACTATTCCTGATTTCGTCTGAAACAACTTATTTTGTCGGCATATTCAAATTCAAAACAAGAGCGAGGCCTTTTAAGCAACTGATGTTGAAAAACATGTGAACTGTGAACTCACTACACATGCATGGATGTTGGAACAGTGTGTCAGCTGAAACATTCGACGTTGCAACAAAATGACCTTGTCACACTAACGTTATGTTGTGCTTCATACATTCAGTATTTTGAGGTTAACATTTCGACAAGACGTTGTCTGAACTGCAAAGATGTTACATTGCTTTCTTTCAGTAAAACCAAAATACAATTGTGTGATTTTGTATTTGCTTCTATGAAATCGACAGGCACCTTCTCAATACCAACTGTCTGCATCCAGTCTGGGGTGTGAATCCGTATTGCTTTGCTCCAGCAGAAGTATAAATCACGTTGTACAGGTCCTAATTATTGTCCGCTGCACAATCAACTGGATATATAAATATTAATCAGTATTATTTGATACACCTAATCACTTGCATATTGCAACACTACACTCCTTCTAATCCTTGCAGACACGTCGTGCAGCGTGATCTGTCGTACAGCGTGCTCTGACAAACGGAAATCTGGAAATCGTAGAAATCTCAAATCGAGGCTTGGCCACTAGAAAGGTTTTGGCGGTCTGGTACGGACTTGATATTATATCAATCACATTGTACGTTACGAAAATACACAATGAAACATATAACAGGTGTAGCCAGGGAATTGTGAATCAGTGTACGACCTCTTCAAACAGGGGCAGTCTTTGACGTCTTAGTTAAATCCCACCAAGCGGGTCATTTGAGGCCCGAGTGCACTTTTATGGTATGCCAAAACTTTATTTCTTTATATAAATGTTCAGTATGCAATGTATTCCCTGAATTTACAATATCTGATTGCTGTGAACAAGTTTCAATTTATTATTTTGAAATAATTACTATTAATCTAAAAAAGCATATATTTGTACAGCAACTGCCATGCCGAGCCTCTGAGGCCCGGTCACCCCTCATTTTTCAGTCAACACCACTTGATAAAGCTTCCTTATGAATACGGGGCGGTGGGGTAGCCTAGTGGTTAAAGCGTTCGCTTGTCACGCCGAAGGCCCAGATTCGATTCCCCACATGGGTACAATGTGTGAAGCCTATTTCTGATGTCCCCGCCCTGATATTGCTGGAATATTGCTAAAAGCGGTGTAAACCCCAACTCACTCACTCCTTCTGAATACATTGCATAGTTTCTGCCAGTCAAAGATGAGTGAGCGAGTTCAAATTTAAAGTGACGTCGGCATTATCTCAGCCATATCGTGACTATGAAAGTTTGGTTATATTAAAAATTAGACCAGACAATATAACTATATGTCGACAAAGGACAGTAAGAAAACAAGACTATAACAGATTAAGACTCAAAATTAGCAATTTATCATAAACCTATAAAACAATACACACACACATGGACTATAGATCACCAACAACTGATGTTAGATCTCCATACTAGCGACCATAAGGACTTACAGTACTTTTGCTACCTACATGGACTCTAGCTGGATTCATACCATCTCTTCAGATACTAGCGATTTTGAGCAAATTAGCCATGGATTAAACGAACACATATTCTACGATTAGTTCGAATAATTAGACCATGAATGACGTGGTCTTACGTATTCTCTCAGGGGACAATTTCTTTACACTACTTCAACCCTCTTTGACGGTACATCCACAAACAAACCTAGTCATCAATGTATTTGACCATACATTAAAATTTAGTATATACAAAGCATATAAATCGAAATTTGTGATGCAACTCAATTTCTTTAAAAAGCCGATAATTAAACGAGAATTTATGCTAAAAGATACCTCATAGATAAAACTTTGAAATATTAATGCGCTGTCATGGAAAAATCATAGTCAAGTTTGAGAAGAAGATTTCGTAATGTTTTGCTACAACCTGCTGCTGCAGATGATGGTGGTGGTGGTGATGCTCAGGCAGTACCTTCTGACAGTGGATCAGAGTCTGAAGAAAGTGTTAGTGACAGCGGTGACTGTTCTGATGGTGAAGAAGAACATCTTTCTACTGACACAAGCGGTGAGCAGTATGTAGGTAAAGACGGAACAGTTTGATCATCAATATAGCCGCCCCAATCACGCATACAAGCATTGAATATCCTCTCAGGTCGTTTGCAGAAGAGCATCAATTGTGGCCATGTCGCAGAGGAAGTGGTTGCCTTTAACCTTTACCTTTCTAAGTCTGTCATCGACGAGATAGTCCAACACACAAATCCTGAAGGGAACCGACTTTTCCAGGCCAGGAAAGGAAAGTGGTGAGATACAGATGCAATGGAAATTCGTGCTCTTATTGGAATGCTTCTCAAACTGGGCATCATGAAGCAGAACATGCCGGATACAGATGTTCTCTGGAGCAAGACTTATGGCATTCATGCCCATGGTCCCTAGTATGGTGATCTACCTTCAGTTGTTGGCGATTTATAGCCTATTTTTATATTATTGTGCTGTCCCCTACAGTTAAATTTTTTTAGATTTAGTTTTAAATTCGAATCTGTGATAATCTAGTTATTTTACTGTCCTTCGTTGACAGTTTTTACAGTTTACCATTACTTACTATGTATAAAATTAATTGTTCTCGTCACGATATGGCTGAAATATTGCCGATGTGACGTTAAATTTTAACTCACTCACTCACTCACTCACTCACTATGGCATTCATGGCTACAATAACAAGGAAGTTCCAGCATTTGCTAACTGCCTCCGTTTTGACAAGACAACTAGATATCAACGCAAGGAAAGAGATAAACTGGCAGCAATCCGTGATATGTGGGCAGTATTTCAGCTATCGCTTATGCATTATTATTCTCCTGGAGCCAGTCTAACGGTGGACGAGCAGTTTGTGCCATACAGAGGCACATGCTCTTTACCCAGTACGTGCCAAATGAAGCCAGCCTTATATGGTTTGAAATTGTTTAGAATCTGGATCATTTTACCCATGCAGATGCATTCCTTGTCTTTGAAAGGAGGGCAAACACAGATAGGTGAATTTGGCAGACAGATAACTCTGGACAGGACAACTGATAACGTTTTGACTGATATGGCTCTTCGACAGAGTTACTGTCAAATGGAATAACCAGTGTGGCCACTGTCAGACACTGTCAAACAATGAAGGAGAATGTGTATAAGGCCATCTGGAGCAGTAAGGCTACAGTAAAAAGGAGAAAATTTGAGGATTTTTTAGATTTTTTAACAAAAGGTTGGAAAATGCACTTCTATTAAGTTATTTCATCAAAAATATATAATCTTTCCGTTTATCCCTCAAACTTTGCTTGAAATTCTACATTCTGAATACAGGTGGACACACGCAAGTGTGAAGAATCATCCAGTACGAATGCAGATTTTATATCCAGATTATATTTTCATGATATGAATCGTAAGGGTGACCGGGCCTCACAGGCCAACTTGGCGGTAATGGATATGAAAAAGCTTGGTGGATTAACGACATGCTGCCAAAACCTCGAAGAAAAATCTTCTTATGAAACAAGGGAATTGGAATTTAGTGTAACCATAGTTGTTTGTAGTGTCTCTTTTTCACTTTCGCACGAGCAAATTCGAATCGACTTATAAGTAGGTCATTGTCTGATTTGGTTAATGAGTGAGTGAGTGAGTGTGTTGAGTTTTACGCCTCACTCAGCAATATTCCAAGCCATATGGCGACAGTCTGTAAATAATCGGGTCTGGACCAGACAATCCAGTGATCAACAGCATGAGCATCGATCTGCTCAATTGGTAACCGATGACATGTGTCAGCCCAGTCAGCGAACCTGACCACCCGATACCGTTATTGGATACTGAAGATGAATATTCTAACCAGGACCTTCACGGGTGG